TGATACAGCGAAGGATTGCCGATGGGGTTGAAGTGCCTTGTGGGGTATCCAATCTCTCGTCCACAATGGCTCCCTCTCAGAAACGGTTTGATTTACTGGAAGTATTAACTAGTTGTGAATGTACTAGTAGTACTTTTAACTGGGTCGCAACAAGTTGGTCGCGAACATTCATCAACGTCGATATTTCAAAATTCCGACCAATAAGAACGCAGACGTCATCAGCTGAAAAAGTGCAATGCAATAAAGTTTCCAGCAATACTCAACGTCGATATAATATTACCTTATACAAATATCAAGATATTTCACAAGTACCACGGGGGAAGGATTTCCGTCGTTCCCTGTACATGTTTACATGTTGAATCGATTTTCATGAGAACATTGATTTACAGTAGGTGTGTGTTTCAAAAAAATTTATATGTATTAACCAATTCTCAAGAACAAGAGCGTGATGTGGCTGGGGGAGCGAGCTACCGTCAAGTATATTTCGTTTTAGGTGGGTGATATTTCACAACCAAACAACATCAAGGGTCAAGTGAAGATAATTCCTTTAGGTATACAAAAATCAAAGTATCGATGGGGCAGTGACGACTCCAAATGATATAAAGGTTCGGGCATGTATAAATAAAAAAAAGCTACTTCTATTCACACAATTTATATTTTCAATGAATAACATACAATTTTCAAAACCAAAATCTGATATATTTTTAAACATCACTGCAATCCACGTCATCTGTGGGATCAATGGTTGCGTCAACAGCACAGCTTGAAACAAAGTCCGTCAACACATCGCCAGGCACGAACTTTTCGTGGCATTCTTCGCTCCGCAAACGTCGCCAAAGCTGCATCACCGTCCGCTTGAGGGTCTTGACCACATCGCGTTCGCGCCCAAATAGAGAGCTGATAGCGCTTCTTGAAACCTTTCAGCCACGACCAGCTTGCGGAGAACTCGTTCTCGACCAGGCCAGCGTCGATGGCAGTTTCCAAGGCCATGATTCGAATCATCTGTGGTGTCACTGGCACTCCGTCTTTGCGCATATTCTTGACCCACAGAGATATTTGCTCTTCGAATTCCCTTGGTAGTGTTGTCGCCGTACCAAGCACACAATTGGTTGGACGTACACAATTGGTTGGACGTACTTGGATTAGTTGCTTTATTCCTAATATGGTCACGCTGTTTGCTCCATCCATATACTTTCTTACGGGTACTGTCGAGCTTTGAGCCATGAACGTGAGGAAAGTGTCTTGCCAGAGTCGCAGCCATGCCGCACTCGTCAAAGCTGTCTATGACGACTTGCTTCATCTTGTAGGACAATTGAACGTTGCGGTGCTTCTTGGGGAGCTTCTTGGGACCATATTTGAAAGCTGGACGACCCCGAGGCTTGTTAAATGGCGTTCCGTCCATTCTGCAAGACGTACAATGGCGTTTGTGGCTCAACGGAGATCACATCAAAAGCACGCGCGTTTTACCTCTTAACATTAATGTTACCTCTATAAATAACACTCACATAGGAATTAAAGGATATATTAGGTATAGGAGTTCATTTGGCCGTCAAAGGATAACCTGTTGAACTTGTTATTGTAGCTTGCCTGGAAATTTTGAAGTACACAGTAACCTAAAAGGAATTAACCACCTAAAACGAAATATACAATACAGTAATCCCGATGATTCCAACTCTACTTCAGGAAAAACCATGTCTGTAAACGGCCGGTCGATGTACAGTGCGCGCCAGGAGGTTAACGCCACCCTGTATTTCTCAGTGAAAATCCCGCCAATCACTAGCACGGATCCTCTGAATACACCATTCAATTCAGCATGATTGGCGGAGTCTGTACATAGAATTTTAAGTCATTTAGGCAATCAGATCGCCCACAATGACATGAAACATGTTTTGGAACCGCGCCAAGGAATTAAAGCCACTTCACATTTTCGTCGCTTGTGAACGCTACAGTCTAGCCACTGCTTATTGACTTGTGTCACTTGCATGGTAGTCCTTACTGAACACTGTGAACATGGATATATAACTCTATCTATGCTGTAGCATGGGTAACGTTGCCCAACTTACGCCTGCCGAGCACGGCGCCATCTTGGCGTTTCATAAGGCCGGTTACTCCAACCGGGTGACGGCACGCGATATTGGTCGCTCCAAGGATGTTTTACGATGCTTTCTGCGCGACCCTGACGGCTACTGCACGAAGTACAAAGGCATGAAGCCCAAGGTTCTGGTGGGCTCTGCTGGTCGCCACTTCCTCCGCAAGGCTTCCAAGCAAGGGACGTCTGCAAGAATCCTTAAGACGTCCCTGGATTTGGAGGCCTCGCTGAGGACGAGCGCCTGCAACACAGCTAGACGATGAAATACGAGAAGCGCAAGCACACTTCACGGCTCCAAGCAAGGCACGTCAAGGCCCGACTGGAGTACGCCCAGCGCCACCTCCGAGAGTCCACCCATTTCACTGAAATCATCTGGTACGACGAGAAGAAGTTCAACCTCGACGGACCGGATGGGTTTCAGTGCTATTGGCATGACCTGCGCAAGGAGCCCGATCTAGTGTCTGCATGACCATGTTGTCCGAAACACAGAATTATGGGGTGGCTTTAACCTCCTGGCGCGCACTGTATCACGTTCGAATTGATCAAGGCTTGTGAACCAAGTTCATCCTAGATAAGGAGTACGACAACTTGATAAGTCACCAACTATTTAAAGTATAATGAACATTTCAAATCACGTACGAATTGATGGTGATCCACTGATTATTATAAGGGGCGATAGCGTTGGCCAACATGTGGGGCTCAAACAACCACACAAGTGCGGTTGACACGCACGCAGCACCACCAACAGTGTACCAACTACCAAAAATGAGTCGCTCCAGTAAGGTAGAGTCAAAAACGCCGCAAGTCGGGAGGGGGGTTGTGAGGAATGAGCGGTCCATTCCAAGATCAACCGCCTTGATTGTCGTCGAATAGAGTTTGACGGGGCTGGGTGGAAAGTAGGCACAGTTCTATTTCCAATAGAGTCTGAAGGATCGTCGCGCAAGTTGTCCACGTGTAGACCACATCGTGGTATTTCTCGTTTCACCGACCAGTCTCTAGAGGGGATGGCAGGTCGACGTAGAGGCTGGCCGTCCATCTCGCGTTGTTGGAACAATAGCAAGCTCTGAAACACTTGACAACCAACCCCCAACCTCTGAAAGATTGCCACATCTCTTGTATCCATCAATAATATGAGAATTTAGCGCGCTCCGTCCACATTCACAGCGCGAAACAACCGCACGAGAACTCGAGCTTGAAAGCGCGCATTAATATGCTGTGGACGAGGAACGATCGTAGGCCAGCCCCGCGTCTCTTTTTCAAGACACATGTAACCAAGGAATAATGTAACCCATACCTATCACCCGGTAAAGCTTCGTCGCAGTGTGCACTGACACCACCAGGGGCCTACTGTCGCTGGCCTCTACCACGCCTCGTGTGGCATCGCTCTTGTGTGTCCCAATAAACCATATGAGTGAAGTGAATTTTTCGAGAGGACGCTTTTCAGCCTCGCGAGGTGCGCTGAGCATTTCCCAGTTAGCGTTTCTTGTAATGAGTCCAACGTTGTGCTTTTTACCTGGCCTGGCGCACCGCATGCTCGGCACGGCTTGGAGCATGCAGGAAGCAAGTTCATTTTTCCAAAGGATATCCGCAAGGCCACACAAAGCGCTGTGCTGCGCACATCGTCGGACGGGACGGCCAGAACTTGGCCTGGTTACAAGGATGGTTATGCTCCTTCGATGAGATCACCTCTGTCACGCATGAATGCATGTCCTATTTTCCATGTGTCTCATTGAGATACGGGCCATACGTTCGCCTAGGTTAACGGCGTCCCAGGATGAAACGCTGTCGCAGCGATCGGAAGCAAACCCCCCTTGTGGCGACCCCCTCGACTTCACTGTTGAATTTGCGCCGCGGCGAACCATGTCCCCAGCTACGTGTGTCTTTTATGGCTGCCGCCACCCCGTCGAAAGGGGAATGAGCAAGTGTTCGCATCACCGCAACCGCGCGCCGTGTTCCGCACTGCAGTGCCACAATCAAGCGTATGCCCGAGGTCGATGCGTGCGCCATGGGGCTCGAAAAAAGTGCCCAATCCCAGGTTGTACTAGCTACCGCCGCGCCAGTGGACTTTGCCTCGGTCATACAGCTACGCATTCCGCACAAGCGAAAGCTCGCCACCTTAATCTGCCTCCGTCCACTCAGCCAAACACCACGCCACCTGCTGCTACCGAAGCTGTTGACGCCGAGTGGGTGCTTGGGCTGGAGCCGATGGACTTTAAACTGCCGCCGTCGCCATCCTGGAACGCCCTCGATAGCGTCGACCTGGCCATCATACATATCCTCTTGCAAGACACCGTGGCGTAGAAGAGTTTAGATTTTGTCTGATAACCTAGCAGTGTAATTGGATGTTTGTGCTGTTTGAATCAACGTGGAAGCCCTTAGTTTGGTGCCAACGAGATGAACTATCTCGATATTGCTCAGTCAGACAACGCATTCGACACTGTTCAGTGCGCGCTGATACGGCTCCGCATAGGGAATTGAAGCACTGATTGTAAGGGCGGCGCTAAAGAGGACTGCCTCGTCACGCAAGGTTGGAGGGCAATGTTCTGACCAGGGTGTGCATAGTTCTTCATTTCAGTTTGACCCAACAGCGGTTGCACACCCGCAGCATTTCGTGACCTGGGTAAACGTCACATCCACAAGGCGACTGCAGTGGGAGGCAAGAGCAGCTTCAGTGGAGTTTGCGAGGTTGCCCTTTGGTGGAGACAGATTACGAGCTCAGCTTAGAGGTCAATGGACGGACGATCACCATCTCCAGATACATAGAGTCTTATGATCGCAGCAGTGCTCTCACGGGCATTGCAGACGTTGCTTCGACCACCTCAGCACAATAGGTGCCAACCTATTCATCGGAGCGGAGTACATACTTACGCAGCACACTAGGGGTAAATGTGTCATTCTCACATACTGGTGGGCAAAGTCATGGAATTCTGTGACAGTCGGCAGGACCTCCGTCGTGGTCAAATTCTTGATGTCTGTTGGTCGTGTATCGAGGGCCATCCTTTGCGTCTCTAGTACTATTGCTGTGATCGCTACGCATTTTAGTTTGACATCAAATGCTGCTGCAGTGTTTCAACGTCTGCGTCGCGTCTGGTGGAAGTAGACGAACCACTCCACGAAAGCCACAATCCTTGAGGTGATTGTTTGTCCCGCGTTGAGAGTATTCAGTCTCGAGTAGTATGCAGGCTGCGCCAAGGCACTCGTTTGCCGATCCGTCGTTCTTACCCCTACTGATGAAACAGCTCCGCCCTCGCGATGTCTTCGCATCTTGTGGAAAGGATAATGTTTGGGTTTCGTGTCACCCCGCAATTCTTCGAAGCAGTCCTGCCCGTCGCTTTGATTTTCCACAACGACGTGCCGGAATGCCCATCCATCGACTTCGACCATTATTAACAAGGCTGGTCTTGTAGCACGAGAGGCGCAGCGGTGACGCGCGAGTCCGAATTTGGAGGATCAGCTGCGGAAGTTGCAGCAACAGGCTGTCGAACAGCTATTGTTCTGTCGTCGTCACGAGAATCGCAAGCGGTGGTGACTGGCCTCAAGTAGACGCTGGAATCCCTCGCAACAACACTCGCGACCTTGCCGCCACCATACAAATACGTCTTGTGGACTTGGGTAATGCATGAATTCGGCCGGCCGTGTGCAAATCCATGGCACTTCGCCGCGAGCACTCACGATGGAATGATCGGATCTTTTTCCTCACGGGCTCCCTCGCGGCTCCGTCTGTTGACACCGTACAATATCACCCCAGCGTCGGTGGGGACGTCACTGCGTTTCTGTGCAAGGGGCTTCGCACAAACATGTAAGAAGTCGTCGAAAGTCTGCAGTCCTCGACTATATCAACACTTGAGCAACAAAATCTTATTTTAACCAATGGACATTTCGTGTAGCCACGACAAAGACCATGATATGATACAATTGTCGTTTGAATTGTTTGAAAATAACCTTGAACAATCTATTCACGACGACTTTCATCAAAACCAGTTTTGAGGATTTATTTCAAAATTTGCTATAGTACCTCTGCGTGATTCTTCAATCTGGATATATTGTAGGAAATACAATTTATGAAGCTATTTTACACAATGGCGGCGACGTCACCAATGTGCCACGAGATCAATTCCCAGAATCTACAGTCTACGCCAGTTGGTAAGGCGAGTTTTCCCGCGCTCGATATCGTCAAAAGCGTCAAAAAGACATCCTTAAAAGTATCGCAATAGAACGTAATTACAAACTAATTTTGTTTAAATGATTCCACATCTCCTTGCACGGCACGTTGTCATCTGAACTAAACGGTGCGGTCGAGTCCTTGCCCAAGACCGCCACTTGTGTTTTCTAGCCTTTGGATGTGGACGTCACGGGGTCTGACACGAGCAAGTTGCGATTTATGTGGCTCCACGTGGTACCAGGGGTGCCAAGGGTAGATATGCGCCTGGCCATGATCACACACATGATATGCAGCGTAGGAAGAGATACCAATTTCACTCGTACGTCGTCGTTCATTGAGAAGGAAATTCCTGGAGAGCCTAATCAACACTCACAAGGATTGATTCCACAGCAATTGAACTTCGTCGTGGAATCAAGTCTTGTCGTCGTTGTCGAAAATAGGATTATTTTGTCCAATCAACCTCAAGTACCACTCGTGGCCACCAGTTTAACCAAACCCATCAAAACAAAATTAGTACGAATGCATACGTCAAGGCAACGATGTGCCACTGGGTGGATTTTTCTGTCGTGCGGTGCCTATCAGCGCGCATTCACATGCCGTGTGTCGTGCCAGGCTTCAAACGCCCCCGGTCGTATCGTCCCGTTGGGGGGATGTGTGACAAACCTGTCATCGCGTACGCGGGGGGCGCGTCATTCTCAGGCAGCTCCTTCGGAAGGCGCTGGCCACTTGGTCGGTTCGCGGCAGGGGACTTGACTCAAACGACCCCTTTGCAACCATGGTGGCTGGACCCACATTCTATATTTAGTTGGCGATGATATGACATTCCGCCTCGTTGCTTCATCAGTCATCACATTTTGAAATATCCCCCGTTATGGCGAAATGCATCTTTTTTGATTGCCCGCACCCAGTCGTGCAACACGGGAGCTCCAAGTGCATTGTTCACCACAGTCGCACGCCGTGCTCGACACCAAAGTGCCGCAACCAAGCGTACGCGCGCGGCCGCTGCGTCCGACACGGTGCGAGGAAGTTTTGCCTGTTGGACGGATGCAAGCATTACCGTCGTGCGGGGGGCTACTGCGCGCGCCACACAACCGCTTTGCGCGCCAACACGCTTGCATTGAATCAACCCCACACTACCTCCACGAGCCCCCACGTGAACCCAAAGTGTAGCAATGCGCTCGCGTACGCCGCCCCACCGTCGTGTAGGGAGACGCTTGACGCCGAATCGGCGGCAATCCAAGCCCTCCTCATGGAGTTGAATTTTGCCATGCTCACAACCGACAGCAACTTGGGAACTGAATGCACAACGCTGCTAGTGACTAGGTGATACTGCTGCAGAGCAAGGTATAAAATATGTATGGCATTTCATGTGGATATGCATTCCTGCATACATGCCGCCTAAGTGCTGTATGATTGAGTTCTCCAATTCATATCGTTATGCCTCTCTCTCGGCCAAGCACGAATGCGTGTGTTTGGAATAAACGCCAACGGTGCTGCATGACAAGATCGTAAAATCTGAAGTTGAACATACGTTTTGGCGCGTCAATGGACATGCACGTTGCTCTGTCTTGCCCGTACGTCGAACGAGCAGACGCCCGACATTGCTCGGGCCTACGCTGGGTCGTGCCACATGCGTTCGCGCACGTGGGTCTGGAGACTGGGGCAGACGATTGTCGATCGTGGTGCGGACCTCTTTCAAGGCGCTGGATTGTTCTCGTTCGAGGGTCGAATCTGGCCAGCGCATGCAGGGGTGACATGGACACCGATCACGCATGTCACGCTGTGTTGAACCGTGGTTCAACAAGAAGATGCGTTTTTCTGCAGCACATCCCAGCCGATCGACGAGAAGTGAAACGACAAGGAATGGGATCGGTCGACTGTCCCAGGCCCCCATCTGAACGCATGAGCGCTGGGGGAGACCTTCCAGACCGTAGGCTCGCCCGCTTTTGCACCAGCTCGAGGTCGAGCCAACATGGCGTATGGCTCGTCGTATGGCCGATTGAAGTGACGGCCACATTTGCATCTCGCAGAGGAGAGAGTGTAGACTGGTGGCGTGCAGAGGGCATGGCAGACAAAACAGCCAATTGGTGCAGAGTAGCTACATATCACGTGAGAGCCTCGTTACGCTCTTTGGCATTGTTGCGTGTGCAACTCTACCGACGTTCGTTTGGCGTAATGGTGCTGTCCAGTCGCCCGAAGCGTAGCCTGTCATGTTGCATTGCGCTCGCACAACCAAACACGACTAACTTTTCATGCAAGAGGACCGCTCGAACCGGGGCATGTCCAATCCACCATGCATAAGACCACTCCAGCATTTGATTCGAACGTCAAGGCTCAATCGAGCCCAAAGTGTCGATTTGCAGCTCTGCCTGTCCACCACGAAACAAAGACGAACTCCCACATTTTGGCGCAACTCGGCACATTGGTGCATTCTAAACGTGTACATACGTATAAGTGAAGTCGCCTGCTCTAACGAGGTCCGATTTCCACCGGATGCACTACTGGAGCCTTTCCGTGCCTGAAAGTTGAGGCTTGTAGCGCAGCCGAGCAGTGCATGGCTCACGTAAAAAGGAACCCACCATATACGATCAGCCATGGCATTGTCTTACAGTGAACCCGGAAAAAGTCGACACCCCCAACTAAACCGACCACCTCTAAAACATGATCTGTTGTAAAAATATTCTGCAACCTGTATACTTCAATATCACTTCATAATTGCCATTCTTTTTGACCAATTGCAGTGCAGATACAAGAATAACTTTGATTGACTGGCTGAAATACTTCTAGTTATAGTCAATCAAGATGGGCTAACTCATGTAATTTAAATAGATTAATTTTATTTGTCCTCCATGCATTTTCAGGAGAAAACCACGACGACTTTTCCGGGTTCACTGTACTGTGCTGTTGTATACTATGTGGATATGTCCGATGAAGAATTAACGAGTTTACACGTTATCGGGAGGTTGATTCAACCTACAGCACTTGGACTTGATGGCGTGCGACCGGTGATGACGAGTCAAACGAGACGACATGAATAAGTTCAACGGTGGGACTTTTAAGATACAGCTCCAAAATTGTGTTGCACTTTGCAGCCCTTGATTGCGTTGGTCCAGCACATTGGCAGCCTTTCACACTAAATAGCCACTCGTAACGCGCAAACCATTCGATCGCTTTGTTTTGGAAACGGTCGCGGTTTCACGTGAAAGGTCGCGAAATGCCTGTTCACAGCCATTCCCACATTTTTCTTGGACAAATGCGAAGCGGTGTCCCAATCTCCGCATTTGTGCTTGCTCCATGCGTGCTGGTTGCATTGGCGCAGACAACGACTACGATTGAGCCGATTGCAGCAACGAGCACGCGCCCACGCTTCAAGACAACGACCGGCGATGACCAAACAGGGATAGCCCCCATTCCAGTCGCCACCCAAGTCGAGTCGAAGTCGTTCAGTATTGGAGTGGCCTTTGCCATCGGCATCAGCGTATTCATCTTGTTTGTCGTGCTGGCGTTGTTGCGTGCGGTGTTCATCCATCGAAAAGATCAAACAACTGAAACAACAAATGGCAACTACTCCAAGCTGGAAGACTCCAAGTAAACACGATATACACTACTTGAGCACCGTTCGACCGCAAAATTGGGCACGTTGTCACTCTAAGCAAAGCCTTGACATGTTCTCGGCGACAAGGACCGATTCTCGAGCACTTTTTTCCGATAATATCAATGAACTTTGAATAATTCCATCCATGACGAGCACAATCAACGAGAGTAGGTTTATCCCGTCGGTCTGTGCGGGTTTTTAACAAAGCGGACGAAAGCGAAATTGCTGGGTATCACCCACACAAGAATCTCACCCACACTGAGAGAAGCAAGAATGTCACAAGAAGCAAGCGATTCGCATGTGGCAACGTCAGCAAACCAGTCTTCTGTGCATTGCGCCAACATAATTCGAATCACCTCGACAAGTTGCTTTTCTTGGTAGAGGGACTCGCCGTCGTCGTGTGACATACGATATGGGAGAAGCCTGACTTGGCTTCTGAACCAAATCCCCCATCACTGTCAGCACCTTTGTGTTGTTGTCGATGGCTGCCGCTTTCACGCGGAAAACTCAATCAAATCGGGCCAAAAACAAACCTCCCCACATCCCGCGAAGTACGCATATTACAGCGTACTGCAGTCATGTCCCAAGTGGCGCACCAAAAAAAATACGATGCCCGTGGGAATGCGCCCCCAACTTCGAGCTGTATTCTCAAGCATGACACGGCAGCGTATCGCGCACACAGACAATTTGAGCACCCATCAACCTGCCCTCTTGTCCCAGGTCGCGATGTGGTGTCGATACCTGGTTCCAGTGAGTCGGTGGAATTCGAGAGAGAGATTCGACGCACACACGCAGCACGACCCCGTTTGGTTTCGATGGATCGCGAACCTGATATGACAATTCTTATTGCTTCAATCGCATTGGAACGAATGAAAGCTCAAGGGTGAGGGATCGAGGGAATGTGCAGAGTGTCGCGTCTGCGGTGGTGTTGGAGCCTTCCATGGCGCAAGGCAAGCCGTCGTGTGCCACAGATTCTGCTGCACGCAAGGTGGCAGTTGACATCACGTTCGGTCAACAGGTTGTCCACGAATCGTTCGTTGGTCGAACTTCCTGTGACATGTTGGCAGCGATTGCGTGCAAAGATTTCGTTGCATGGGTACACTACAAAACTGACATTCCATGCAACGGAATGTCGCTATGCTGTCGTCTGGGGTATCGATGCTCGGATGCACACAAACACTTTTCACGATGCATGGGACCTTACCCCGGTTCAGGGTTTCGCGTGCGAGTCGGTAGCAACGGGTCCGAGTGGCGATGGGCTGGTGTCTTGCCATTCCAACCTTGTGGCCACGTACTTGTCGCATGTGAGACAAGTACATTCGGAGACACTCCAAAAAATTCTGACGATGTTACAGTCCATTTGTCCACGAAAGGTGAGCCCGACTCGGTTCGTTGAATGAAGCGAGCTTGTCGACTGGAACACTAAGCGTTGACAACCCAGGACGGGTGATTCACGGAAACACTTGTCCTGCATGAACGACAGGCAATTGCAATCATTTTGTTGGCCGGCGCACCACGGACGCCCGTGCAACCACCCATCAACGCGAGGACACATTTGTTCCCATCTACACTACCACGGACGCCTGTGCAACCCACCCATCAATGCATGGAGTGATTTATGTAGCTGCGATATGCACTGAAGTGTCTCACCGACGGCCTGGGTGGAATTTGCATATATGTTGTACCTCTACTTGGCTATCACCACGTTTTCTCTTACCTTATGTATACCACCATGATGCCATACGAATGCTGACATTTAAGCGGGACCATACAAATTTCAAATCAAGTTGCTACGGCTGCTGTGAGACAATTCTCGTCCACTCATGCATGTGCAGCGCCGTCATTGTCCAATCTGCCCCGACCCCCGCATCAGCCCTCGGGGCCGAAAAGACAGCTCCAACACCGCCGCGAAGCCATCTTCATCCCGATGAGGTGCATGTCGCTTTGTCAATGCCCTTTGGCCTCTTGTGCTTCGCCCATGCTCGTGCGTGCCCGCGCGATCCGGCGAGCTTCGGGATTCCAACATGCCAATGGGCAAACTGCACCGAACTGTTCCAATGTGAGTACACGTCACAGCGGACCAATCAAAACGAACGACGGGCGAGAATATTCGGATAAACTTGGCTTTATACGGATTACGAATGTCTCAACCTGAGGCGCCTGGGACATGCGAGTTGGCATCATGACACTTTCAACATGGCAGTGTTCAATTTCAACGGTCTCTGCCATCGACGCAGCGCGCGATCTTCTTCAAGATGACGTCCTCGCCTTCTTCCGCCCTAGCCACGTGTGTGTTCAAGGACTGCTCGCAGCCGGTCCACTCCAGTTGCCCCACCAGGTCCAAGTGCCTCTTCCACCGGAATAGGTCCCGGTGCGAAGCGCCAGATTGCTCCAACCAGGCATACGCTCGCAACCGGTGTGTTCGCCACGGCGCGAAACAATCGTGTGTCGCGGACGGTTGCACTCAGAATCGCCGTCTCGGCCTCTACTGTTCCAAGCACGCCGACGCAAACAGCAAGAAGCGCTGTAGTGTCCACGGATGCGACAAACTCCCCCACGCCAGGGGTCTCTGTGTGCGCCACGGCGGAGGACGGCTGTGCAAAGCACCCGATTGCGCGTCGCACGCGCGCATTGGCCTACTATGCGCGCGTCACTTTCACGGCCTCACGTCGCCATCCACATCGCCGCGCTCGACGAGGGCAACGACGTCGGCCACCAGCAGGTGCACATCTAACAGCACGACAGATGCAACTTTCTCGCCTTCGTTGCACCTTTCCACACTCACGGACCTCACTGTCACGATGGGCATGCCTGACACACTGGACTGGGCGATCCTGTCCGACCTTGTCTCCGATTCCAACGTCCACACGACCACCTCCGCCGCCTCCAACCAACTCAACACCCCCAAGTGCTGGGGTGATGCCGCGCACTCGCAGAAAGACCCACAGCCTCACAACACCACGTACGCCGACGACTTCGAGTTCTGGGAGACTGTTTTACGCGTCGTGCAGTAGGTCTCTCCACGATTGGGATTCAATATTTAACGAAACTCGATGAAATTGTACGGATACATGTTATGCGGATGCCCTCTGATGCTTACTAGTAGTAGGCTATAGTATGCAGGTATTAAGGCCCTGGTGTCGGAAGCGTTCATGTCCATGCACATTCATGTCCAGACTTTTGATTGGTTAATTATCCGGTCATCCGGACTCTGTTCATGCTCATTTTGGAGTGAAATGGGCGTGGACCAATTGTCCAGCCCGTTCCTGTCTTGCATCACGAAAAGTCTGGATGGCGCATCCACACGCTGCCGCGGTTGTTGCCGTGGCGGCAGTTGTGTCCGCGATATCTCTTGCAGTCTCAATGGTGGCGTCTACATCTCGTCGGGCCAAGTACAACATACTGACACTAAGGAACGTGGACTTCGAGCGCATGCAAACTGACCCGTGCTACAACCAGTGGTTCGTAAACAACGTCCGCTGCTCCCAGCAAACCTTCAGTGCTCTGGTGTCACTACTGCGAGGGTACATGCCGCACAAGCAACGCTGCTACAATCATTCATTCGCAAAGAAGGTGGCGATGCTCCTCTTCTTCCTGGGGACCGAGGGTGGCTACCGAGAAACCGCAGCGGCCATGGGAATGTC